CTCCCTGTAGTGTTAGTATAAAAATGACACTTCTCGCTAACGTCATGGAGTTTGATCATTTTCTCCGACTTTTGCTAAATACCGAAAAGTTTTACGGAAGAGCACAACTTTGGTGTTATTAATTTGTTGCCCTAGTATTATGCTACCGTTCCCCAGCAATTTTTGGGGGTTGCTTAAATATTTTGTCATCATCACATATTTTCGATTTACCTGAATCGACCGAAAATTTTTGTCATAGATTCTCGGGAGTGTGCTAAATGTCGAAAGTTGTTACGGCAGAGCACACTTGTACTGTTTTAAATTTGTTGGCATGGTATTGTGCTACGAGACACATCAGAAATTTTATGGTCACCATCACGAATTGATTGATCTATACGATGTGTCTGTGTCTAAACTAACTAACGACATTTTACTACGTCTTAGATTGTGGTTTAAGATCGATGTCGTCTGTCTGCTAAGTACCGAACGTGACCTATTCCCGAATATGACTGTTTTGCCGAGATTGAATTTGCATTGCTATATGACGTGTCTCGGTATTTATACATCCAACAATCAAGTATTTAGTTATGTTATTTCTTTTGTGGGTTGTGTTATGTCTTATCGTTTGTGGTTTGAATTCTGTATTTTCGGTACATTTCACATATGTCTTATTTGTCAGTATAGTCGAGGTCATTTCCATTTTCCATGGATAAAGTATTGTGTTAGTCCTAATAATTATGACGTCGTCACAGCATTAATTTAAAATAGCCTTTCTATACTGTCATAATCATGATAATTGTTTGGGCTAGTATTGTGAAAAAATTGTATAAATTTCAAGATTATATATACGTCACTTATTGTGGTGTGCTGTGCTGTCGTTAATGGAAGATGTTCGTTGTTATTCTGCGGTTTACATGTTGTAATGTACTATTATATTATTAATTTGTGCGTTTCTCTGTGCTGAGTGTTCTTGCGTTTGTTTGTGCTGTATTCCTGTCACGTAGTGTTGTCATTTTAGCGATATTTTTTAACATTGCCATATAAATGGGAGAATTGGCTAGACATAAAACCAGGTTTAACCCACCATTTTTTCGTAAAATATCATGTACCAAGTCAGGAATATGGCATTTGTTATCAAAAAGTTCGTTTCTATGAATGTTGGCGTTTGTTTTTTGTTGCAGTTCAGTGTTTCTGTTGTTCCGTTGTTTTCCTCTTATAGTTTATGTGTTTCCCTCGGTTTTAGTTTGTAACCCGGATTTGTTTTCTCTCAATCGATTTATGACTTTTGAACAGCGGTATACTACTGTTGCCTTTATTTCTCACAATATCGATGACAGATGTGATTAAAAGTTCTGTTAAAGCATATTGCCTCTTCTTTTAAGGAAACATTAATTGTTATATTAAGTAAAGTTTAGTGGTAATAACGGAACTGTGGCTATATAAAAAAAAGTCATCCGGTATTTTTGTGATTTTTATGATTTTAATTTTTTATATTTTCTGTTGGGTTTAAACAAGGATTTGTATAGTATACTATACAAATTCTTGGTTTAAATTATATTTCCTCAGACATAAGATAAGAGAAGAGAAGATAACTTTATTAGCACTAAGTTAACACATTAACAATAATTGGTTATGGCAACAAAATACAGACAAACTACAATAATATATATACAATGAAGGAATGACAGTGGATAAGTATGACTAAGAAATAAAAAATAAAAATCAAGTACCTTTGACAATGAGTTGCTTACCAACAAGCATTCATTCAAGTAATTCACAACAATTTTAATACTGTTGGGGAATTACTATTTAGAATTGATATATGCGAAGTTATATGATAAAGAAAGTAATTTGTTGTTCAATAGAACATTATTTCATTTTTAAATGAGGTTATCACTAAATTATTTATAGGTATATCATTTTAAAAGAAAATGTATTTCATCTTCAATGTCTCCATTGTTGCAGCGAAGACATATCCTACTCTGCTTTGGTATATTAAAATATCGCCCTCTTTCAACAGATGAAGTATGAGTACTTATCCTTAACTTACATAATGTTGATCTATCACATTTGGATTTGCATTGATCAACATATGAGGGTCTTATATTTTGTTTATAAAATATATGAAAGAAGTTTAATTTTTTATTTTGATTTTGGGTCAGTATTGATTTTGCTGGATAGATATGATTATATTTATTTTGTATATGTTTATTCTTCTTTACATTTTCGCCTTTATTTTGAGCGACGAGAGTAGTATTCTTTTCTGTAAGCTCCATTAAATGGAAATTTATTTATAAGAAATGCAAATTGCTTAACAGTTTTATATAAGTCTTCACAGGACCCTGAAAACCAGGCTTTTCTTTGTTTACTTGTTTGTTTTTAATACGCACTCTAAATAAATTTGGCAGAGGCCTAAGCTGTTCCTTGAAGAATTGTGTTTAGATCATTTACAGCTTCATTACAATTTTAATATTTTCTCTACACAGAAATTCTTGCATTTTGATTTAAGAATTCGTATTCTGTATTTCGAGTGTAGAGTTACGATTAGTTGCCTCTAAATCCCATAAATACCCGGGAGTAGCTCTAAATATGCTTGTTGGGTATTTAATTATCATAAAAAGAAGTTAATAAGGTGCAGCTTATTGTACTATGATCTGATAATCATGTTAATAAAGGGATGCACGGTAAAACTACTTATGGCATAAACATGTAATAAATTTGCAGATGCAACTGCATAATGAACAACACTAGAACCATTATATTTTATACAGGTATATGTACCAAGTAGATCACCAATAGTTCTACCATTCAATATTCTTAGTCCAGTTTCTTTACAGAGCTCAATTAATAATTTGCCTCTCTTATTTGACCTTTTATGATCCAGATTATTTCTTGATGTACCTATGACATATCAATTTCGGAATGTTTTGGCAAAAACAATGAGAACTGTTTGCCGAACTAATAAACTTGTTTTATGGTATCCAATAATCAATACTCAATAATACCATACCACAGAATGCTCGATACCTATATATTTTGGCATTGCACAAAATTATGTTTTTCTCTGACTGTTAATGACGTCTTTACACTAAATTCATTAGATTTTGGATGTGTTCTGATTGATATGTTGGTCTTAGATACATGCTTACATTATTAGTTGTTTATGGCTTTGAACTAGCTTCCAGCAACTGCAAGTACTCTCGAATCTGTACTTTATGTCTTTCGTGTTTTTATCAGTTGTTTTTGTGCTTTGAATCTATCTGATAAGTTAAGCCCTTTTTAACTGATTTTTCAATGCTAATTTTATCTAATGTTGTGCTGTTACATTACTGTTCCAGGTTAGGAGAGGGTTGGGCGCCGGGAAACATGTTTAACCTGCTATATCCTGTATGTGCATGTTCCAAGTCAGAAGCTTGTAATTCAGTGGTTGTCGTTTGTTCCTGTATATCATCTTTGCATTTCGTTTAATATTTTTACATGAAGTTAGTTTTTTACGGAAGCGTATTAGGGCCATCCTTTTTATTTATTTTTTTTCAAATTGTCGACTTTAATCTTGGAATTATCAACTTTAATCTTGGAATTCTCAGCTTTAATCTTGGAATTATCAACTTTTATCTTGGGATTATCAACTTTAATCTTGGAATTATCATCTTTAATCTTGGAATTATCAGCATTAATCTTGGAATTATCAACTTTAATCTTGGAATTTCCAACTTAAATCTTGGAATTATCAACTTTAATCTTGGAATTTCTAACTTAAATCTTGGAATTATCAACATTAAACTTGGAAATTCCAACTTAATCTTGGAATTATCATCTTTAATCTAGGAATTATCAATATTAAACTTGGAAATTCCAACTTTAATATTGATAATTCCAAGATTAAAGTTGATAATTCTAAGATTAATTTTTGATAATTCCAAGATTTAAGTTGGAAATTCTAAGATTAAAGTTGATCAATCCAAGATTAATGTTGATAATTCCAAGATTAAGGGGAGGGGGTAACTTCGAATTTTTTTGGTAGTGGTGTGCTATGTTTGTCTAAAACAATGTACCCATTTTTATATAATATTAACTAATATTTGGTACCTTTATTTATATATAAAAATTTTGACCCGCCATGACATTTCCAGGCTTATGGAGGTAGAACGTCATTTTTAGAAAAATTATAAACATGATAAATATCGAGATTCAATGGAATACGTATTTATGAAGAAGAGATAAACACTTTCCTTGGCTTCTTTTTTGCGGACGCCGAACAATACATCATATATAAATTTTGAAGAAGTTTTACTTT